TTCAAGTATTCCTAGGATTTGCAAATTTCTACCGACGGTTTATTTTGGGATATTCGAAAATTGTTGCCCCGCTTACAGCCTTGACAAAGAAAAACGTTAAATTTGAATGGACGGATGAAAGGGAGGAAGCATTTCAGACTTTGAAAAAGATGTTTACAACGGCACCGATACTAGCTCATTTCAATCCAGATCGAAAAATTGTGATAGAAACCGATGCATCCGACTATGTTTCAGCAGGAATCCTATCTCAACGTGACAACGAAGGAATCCTACATCCAGTTGCTTTCTTTTCCAAGAAACACTCTCCCGCAGAATGCAACTACGAAATCTATGACAAAGAACTTTTAGCAATTATACGATGTTTTGAAGAATGGCGACATCATCTGGAGGGAGCTCAATTTCCAATTGAAGTTCTTAGCGACCATCGGAATCTTGAGTATTTTATGACAACAAAATTGTTAAATCGTCGACAAGCCCGTTGGTCCGAATTTCTTTCACGCTTCGATTTCGTTATACAATTTCGGCCAGGAAAACAAGGAACAAAACCAGATGCATTGACTAGGAGGTCAGGTGACCTACCTAAAGAGGGGGATGAACGGTTAACGCATCAGAGTCAAGTGATTCTGAAGCGAAAAAATTTGGATACCAAGCTAAGTTTGTTCGCGGGTTCTTTGTCAAATGAATCCGCTGAAGGAGCGTCCACTGTAGAGGAGTTATTTTCAAAGGCTTACCAAGTGGATGGTTTCCCAAACAAGGTCCTCAATATGCTTCGGAATGGCATACGCCACTCAAACAAAATCTCACTTGCCGAATGTATGGAAGATAACAACGGTCGGCTGCTTTATCGAGGCATGCTATATGTACCAGACGACGATGACCTTCGACTAAGGCTTTTAAAAGAATATCATGACAAACCATCTGCGGGACATCCGGGTAGAGCGAAAACTCTGGAGCTCCTAAGTCGAGAATATTACTGGCCACAGATGCGGAAGTTTGTCGATCAGTATATTAGGAATTGCAATGTGTGTACCCGTAGCAAGGCATCACACAATGCACCTTATGGAGTACTTCGCCCCATGCCAATTCCCGATGGACCCTGGACAGATGTCTCGATGGACTTTGTGACTGATCTTCCTGAGAGTGATGGGTATAATGCGATTTTGGTCGTGGTGGATAGACTAACCAAAATGCGGCATCTGATACCAACGACAAAGGAGGCGGACTCACAGGAAGTAGCAAGGCTATATATTGATAACGTCTGGAAGCTACATGGATTACCCGACACCATGGTATCCGATCGAGGAACACAGTTCGTCGCGGAATTCTGGAGGTCCCTTTGTGATCGATTGGAAATCTCGCCAAAGTTCTCTACTGCATTTCACCCCCAAACAGATGGACAGACAGAAAGAATCAATGCCATAATGGAACAATACCTCCGAAGCTATGTTTCCTATCAACAAGATGACTGGGTCCGATGGCTACCGATGGCTGAATTTGCAACCAACAACCACGTTTCCGAAACAACAAAAGTTTCCCCCTTTTATGCTAATTCGGGAAGGAATCCCAGGATAACATTTGGACCTTTGAAACATGGTCGAACGACGGCGGAGGATCAAGCGAACCGTATTGCAAGGGAAATGAAGGATGTGGTAGACTTCCTAAGAGAAGAAATGTTCCGGGCGCAAAGGATACAAGAAGAATCAGCCAATAGAAATCGAACTCCAGCTCCTCGATATTATTTAGGAGACAAGGTTTTTCTATCGACCCGCCATATTCTAACAAAACGACCCTCTAAGAAATTCGACTGGAAACGTATTGGGCCTTATAGCGTTAAACGAATCGTTAATCCCTATGCTTACGAGTTGGAACTTCCCCGGTCGATGAAAATTCATCCAGTATTTCATGTTTCGTTATTGTCACCTGAAGCGAATGATCCTTTACCAGGACAACAACGATTACCACCACCTCCGGTTGAAATCGAAGGGGAGGAAGAATGGGAAGTCGAAGATATTTTGGATTCGAGGAAACGAAGAGGAAGATTTGAATATTTGGTACGATATATGGGATATGATGAAACCTCCTGGCAACCGCTATCGAACCTTGAGCATTCACCTGAAATTATTAGACGATTCCATGAACGTTATCCAGAGAAGCCTAAGCCTACCAGGAGGTAGGCCTTAGAGGGGGGCGTGGTCTGTAACGGCAGCTACGTATTTCGGCTAGGTGATGAACTGGGATGAGGGAAGGAGGTATCGTGCAGTGGGATTAGGATTTGTAATGGGGATTTCTGCTATGTTCTTTGGGTTTCTGTTACGCGAAGGTATTAGTCATCGTTGGATTATGGATGGATATATAAGGGGGCGTTGTCTTGTGCTTTTGTCTGTTTTCCTTCTTCTCTTTCTTCCTTACGCAACCTCTGTATTTATTCCACGAATACTATTCTTTGTCCGCACTACGTCATAGGGCTCTAATCGGTTTATCATACCAGGTAGAGCCACCCACAGTCCATAGTCAAAGCATACCTCTACGTCCACGTCCACGTCTACGTCGCTACCTAGGTTGTATTCCTTGGCACCACAGTCTATCGCCTACGTCCCCGTGATAATCGAATACGCCAGCGAAAAAATAGAGAAATTGAAATGGAAGTACGAAGGAAAGAGTATGACGAAAAGGTAGTAGAACAACAGAAGTTACTTACAAGTTATATCGAAGATGTGAAAGAACATGGCCCAGGAGACAAAGCCACTGAACAAGAATTAATCGATCAATACAAAGAAGACTTCAGACGTTATAGGAATGAGTTAGACATGGAATATGGAGACATATCCAAACTCCCTCCGAACTACCAAATACACCTCGTAACAGAACCTTCCACCTTCAATCAAGCTATGCAGAGCGATGATCAACACCTATGAAAAAAGGCGATACAGACTGAGAAAGACGCCCTTGACAAAGCCCACACCTGGGATATTGTCAACAGACCAACCAACCGAGCAGTAGTCAAAGGAAAATGGGTATTCAAAGTGAAACACAACGCGGACGGAACAATCGAGCGGTACAAAGCAAGGTACGTTGCTAAAGGCTTCACCCAAGTACAGTACCAAGACTACGATGAGACCTTCGCCCCCGTTGCACGATATGATTCTCTACGACTCCTACTGGCACTAGCTGCACACAACGGTTGGATACCACAACAAATGGATGTCAAGTCAGCCTTCCTCTATGGTGTACTCAAGGAGGAAATCTACATGGAACTGCCTGAAGGCTACAGGCAGGACAACAAGGTTTGTAAACTTCGAAAATGCATATACGGACTAAAGCAATCACCCCGTGAATGGTATGCTTGCCTAGCAGACTCCCTTCAACGGAAAGGATTCGTCCCAGCCAAATTCGACCCATGTGTCTTCATACATAAGAACCACCATCTATACATATCGGTGTATGTAGATGACATCATGATATTCGGACCCGACTCCCCATTCAGAAAAGAAATCAGACAACTACTCAAGGCAGATTTCGAATGTACGGATCTCGGTAACTCGAAGTTCATATTGGGAATAGAAATAACGGTAACCAACAACGGTATCTCACTATCACAACGCGCATACATCAACAAGATCCTGGATAAATTCGGAATGAGTAACTGCAAACCAGTTGGCACACCACTCGAACCGAACCTCAACCTTCACAAAGGCGAACCGGAAGACCAAATCGAGAAACCAACTGAGTACCAATCCATAATAGGATCACTAATGTACGCGAGTATAGCCACCAGACCTGATATCACCCATGCCGTTACCGCTCTCTCCCAGTACTCCTCATGTCCAACCGAGGACCACCTACGAGCAGCCAAGCGAACTCTCCGATACCTCAATGGAACCAAAGACTGGAACCTGTTCTACCCGAAGGGGAATACTAGAACACTCGACGGATTCTCAGACAGTTCCTACGCTTCAGACCTAGATGACAGAAAATCGTTCTCAGGATACGTGTTCAGACTAGGAAAGTCAGCCATCAGCTGGAGAAGCCGGAAGCAGAAATCAGTCGCAGTCTCAACAACAGAAGCCGAATACATGGCCCTGTCCCTCGCGGCTCGACAACTGGTATGGATTCGTAATGCCTTGCTCGAACTCCAACAACAATACCAGTACTTCATACACGCCGACAACACAGGTTCTATTGAACTCTGTCGGAACCCACGCATCCACGACCGGTCCAAGCACATCGACGTTCACTACCACTATACACGTGAACAACTCGAAGCCGGAACCTTCGAAATCCTCTACGTCCCTACCGAAGACAATGTCGCGGACATAATGACCAAAGGACTACCAAAACCAGCTCACCAAAAATTGTCAGAATTGATACGATGTGGCAAGTGAGGGGAAGTGTAAAAATATGGCATTGCGACATCGGTTATGTATGGTAATTACTTATGTATAAGGGATGACTCATAGTTGGAACAAGGAGGCTTAGCGCTAGGATTATGTAATCAGGGGATCACGTGGTACTAAGAACTATCTGTATATAAGGAGCAACAAACTCCCATAGTTGTCGCTGGAACTTCAGCGGCGCAATAGTATCTTCTTTGCACTATAAACATATTCCTCACAAAGGTCACGTGTTCAAACCCTCCTCAAGTCGTCTATTCTCCCACACTCCAATTCACAAATAGGTGGCATCGTCAAGCATGAATTTAAAAATCTGAGGGCTGGGTATGAGGGCCGGGTATGAATGGACCCAAGTGTAGGAGGTTCCCTTATACATGTGTATGCTCCAGAGGGGCATTTTGCATCTTTATACACCTACTCTTTTCCCTAGTAGCAGTATTATATGTACTACATGTCCTAAACACCAGGTAATTTATTCTGCTAATTCTTCGAGATACATGAAAGGATTTATCGTGATAGTAGATATAAAGTCATGAAACTCCAATGATTAAAATGCCTTGCTACAAAAGTTAAACGCCACAGTTCATCATAAGGGTGTTTGGCCCAAGCTCACTTTGCAGCTTTCCTCATTTCTGCTGCTCGCATAAAATCAAGATTTCCCTTTGCATCGACAGTTTCCGGATGCTCCTTTCCCAAGAACTTTGTCATCATGTCTACCACTTGTTGTTGGATTTTTGCTGCCTCGCCAGTCTTTTCTTGCCTTGCGAGTAAATAAGCATAATTGCTCATAGACGTCAGAGTTTCAGGATGATCCTCTCCAGAAACCTTTTTCTTCAAGCTGACGACCTTCTCCTGAACTTTAGATGCTTCTTCTAAAAGCCCCTTCTTTGCCAAAAGCTGTGAAAGATATTCTGATGCTTCAATCGTGCCTAGATCTTGCTCCCCAGAAACACTCTCTCGTGCCTTCACAATCCTCCTCTGGATTTCCAAGGCTTTATCAACTTGATTTTGGCTACCAAGTGTTATCACTAATGTGTCCATAGCTCTAAGGGTATCCTCGTGGTTCTCGCCAACAGACTTTACAGTGATGTCTAATATCTTCATCTGTAATGCTAACGCTTCGTCTGCATCCCCCTTCTTGCGCAGGATTGATGCAGTGTTGGCCATAGTGCTAAGGGTATTTGGATGTTTTTCGCCGAAAAGACTCTTCGATGTCTCTAGAACCTGTTTCTGGGTGATTACAGCCTGATCCATTTGACCATGAACAGCGAGCATATACGCAAGATCGTTCATCTGCCTGAGGGTATCGGGATGTTCTTTTCCTGAGATTTTCTCTCTCAGTGCAGCCACTTTCTTCTGGGTGTCTACGGCTTCGTCCATTTGGCCGTTGTCTACGAGTGTCTGAACCATGTTCATCATTACCGGAATATTATCAGGATGCTCATCGCCCAATACTTTCTCTGTCAACTCCAATACACGTCTTTGTATTTTGATCGCCTCGTCAACCCGATCCTGACGAGTGAGCATAAACCCAACGTTATTCAGGGCAGCAATAGTGCTTGGATGTTCCTCGCCCAGGATCCTGATTTTAATATCTAACAGCTGCCTCTGGAGCTCTGACGCTTCTTTGAACTCGTTCTGGCCCACGAGCACTTCAATGAGGGTTTCCATGGCTGCTATAGTGCCCGGATGATCACCCCCAAGGACTTTGGTTTGTAGTTCCAAAACACGTCTCTGAATCTTGATTGTACCATCAATTAGGCCTAGATCACGGTAGGTCACAGCAAGACAATTCATGGCTAGTATGGCCTTGGGATGATATTCCCCTAGGATTTTCGTTATCGATGCCATAGCTTGCTCTTCCAGCTTTACTGCTTGGTCTAGCTGACCTTGAGACTTGAGGGCGTTTGCAACACTGGTGATGGCTCGGATAGTGTCTGGGCTGTCCTCGCCTAAAATACTTTGACGCAACTCGAATACTTGTCTTTGGAGTTTTACTGACTCTTCGATTGATCCTAGCTGATAAAGTGATAGTGCCTTGTAGCTCATGGATGTAATAGTTTCTGGATGTTTTCCGCCCAGTTCTTTAATCATGAGATGTAGGACACTTTGAGTGGTCTTTAGTGCTTCTTCCGCTCGGTTCTGCCTCCGAAATGTGGCCGAAAGAAGTTCCATGGCAAGGAGAGTCTGGAAATTAGACTCCCCCAGTGTTCCCTTCATCCTTTCTGTCATTTCTAGCACAACTGATGCCGATTTCTCCGCTTCATCTCTATCCTGAAGCATGGTAGCAAGATTCCATGCAGCAGCAAGTGTAGCCAGGTGCGACAAGCCCAAAGCTTTCTCTGTCTGCTCTAACACCTTCCTCTGGACATCAAGTTCCAATTGTTCAACAAGTCCTTGTCGCTTGAGGAGGTGTACGAAATTCTGCATAGCAATGACTGCACCAGGGCTCCCCTCGCCTAGACTTTTTGTGGTTGTATCCAATACATTCCTCTGCATCTTTATCGCCTCCTCTATCAGACCCTGATCGAACAGTAGAGAGGCCAGAAAGTTCTGCAGTATTAAGGATGACTGGGTCACTCTTTCATCCGTCTTTCCGGCCACCTCATACTTGTAGATATCTAGTACTGTTGAAAGAATACCAGTTTGGATATATTCATCGATCAATTGATCTATCTGCTGCATGAATGTGATTTTGATATCTTGATCGAGTTTGCCATGTGTAATGATGTTCTCCGCAGCCGCCGAAAGGTCTTCAGCCGACCTTCCGCATTTTTGGAGGTATTCAACGACAAGGCTCGCGTCTCGTGGGGTCCCGAAAGCAAATTCGTGGCAGAGCGCAAGTTGGAAGGCAGAATCTTTGCAGGTGGCGGCTCTATCTGTGAGCGCCTTGACGATTTGGACACGGACGAAGCAGTGGACATGTTGGAGTGCTTCAAAATTGAGTGCAAGCTGAATATGTTTGCAGTTAGTAGCTGGTGATGGGTTATGTCTTGCTTGGGGGGTCTTACATTTGGGATACTTTTCAAACTTTCAAACTTAATCAACTCATCAGAAATCGTCTCCCTTCTATGATTGGTTATTAGTATGTACTCAAGCTTAAGTCTGGTAACGAATGATGTCTCATTTAACTTACTGGACATCCCCTTCAAGAGCTTGAGAAACTAGCCCAACTAACATGCCCATGTCGCTGGCTCTCGCATCTGGATTCGTTTCTAAACAGGCCTCAAAAAAGCTGGCTAATCTCGAGCGAGCCAACTCATGGTCCTTAACAACGAAATTCGGACCCTCTCCCTCCCCGGGAGACAGAGAAAGAAGCGATGCTGGAGAAGATGTTGATCCTCGGTCTCCGAAAAGGATCCACCCACAAACTTTCCCGTAGGAATATATATCGGCCTTCTTAGCTCGGCCTACGGTGGGCTCCATTGACGTACATTCGGGTGAACTCCATTCAGGTGTCAAGGGTAGGCATACAGGATCTTCGTCAGCACAACCTAAGCAAGCGTATCCAAAGTCGATGATCTTTGCAATGAATCCACCATTGCCGTCTTCAAAAACGAGGACCTTTTCTGGCTTTATCTCTCCGTGTGGAATGCCTACATGGAATGTGGTTAGTAGTCTAATTATACCAACAGGACAATCTATGACATACTGAAAGAGTGCATTAGCTCAATAGCCTTTCCTATATCTCTACACAACGACAGCCTTTTCTCAAAATTCAGCGCCTGGTAAGACCTTGATCCCAAGAACTTATCCAAGCTCCCATGCACCGGCTTCTCGAATACCAGCACAGGCAAAACTTTCACAAGTATTCCACTTCTATTGACCTGGACATCCCAACTAATTCCATATAAATCAACTATACTCCGGCACTCCCGGACTCTAGGATGCTGTAGTACTAAAATCTCAGCAATAAGCGCCTTCCATGAGAAACTATGCACATCTTCGAGTCCCAGAGCCCGCGCTTCTTTACTGTCTGGTGTAAACCGCTTAAAAGAAAACCCGCGACTTGGGTTTAGATCAATCTGTTCAAGCCCATCGATACCCAGTCCATCAAGCCCTGGGGCCCAGGTGGTAGGAAGAAAGTTGACCCCGGATTGCTGTACTACACCAAGGAACGATAAGAAGTCATAATGCGGTAGGATAAAGCTCTCTGTAGGTTTGAGGGGAGTTGTAGATCCCAAAAATTCGAAAGAATCGGCATTGAGAGTGTATGCGAGAGAGGATGTGCTTATTTGCGCCATTCTGAGTAGTTTGTTTGACAATGAAAGGTAATTGCAGTAAAAGAGCTGACTCTTGTGTACATAGCCAACTTATCCTCGGCCCTGCAGTATATATACATGTATTGTGGGGTATGGGTACATGTAGTCTCGTTCCCTGCCTGTTTTTTTGTCGCACTTCGTGGAGACACAAGTTCCACACAGGTCTGGGCATCAGACTAGGGTATGGGAATATCTGTCGGAGGCCTAGCGCCTAGAACCACATTTACTCCATCTCCATGCTTTACCCCACATCAAGTTTCGGGGATCTGCCGGATAGTAAAAATAAATCCGGAACACATTTCGATGTACATGTAGGTACATCTATTCTCTACTCGTAGTCTCCTGGCGTTTTTGGACTGGGCCACTATTGCATACACCCAAAATCAGGATCTTGGCGTATTTTTGTATGGTATGCAATATCAGTCGCGTTCAAAAACATCAGGAAGTTACGAGTACTCTAGTCTCATGCCCATCCCCTACACTCTACCCTAGAGTAATTGCGCCACGGCTATGCATGTGTCGATGCTTATCATCATTCCCCGTGGAGTCTTGCGTTACCCATGCGTTTAAGTGGATGCAGGACAGGGATAGCGGGCGCACAGTTCGCTATCTTCGTGGCTTTAGCCCGAGTCGAACGGAAACGGCCACTTCCCACTCATTTTCCTCGACTGCCATGGCTATTGCAACGTCGTGACATCAAGAAATTGTATGCTATCTTAGTAGGTGTTCATAGCGCCAGAATTAAAGTGACGCCTATTTAAGTAAAAGCTAGTAAAATAACTCTCGAAGTGACTGGAAATATCGTGGGCATTTTAATTTTGGCGAACTGCGTGCCCACACACAATTATATACATGTACATAAGTACATGCACCCGGTACATACATGTAGTTGAGGTTATATAGGTAGGTCATAGTATATCACTCGTTCTTGGCAAACTCCCAAACCATAAAAGTACATCATGTATGATTGATTGATAATTCATTCGTGTATGCAAACCATAAAGTACATGTATGTTACGTACGTAAGTACAGGACATGTATGTGCACAAAATTAATTTTCGCTTTTCAGATGTCCTTTCTACAGCGGCCCAAGAACCGCCCCATGCTCGATGTATAGTAGGGCTTTCTCATATATTGATTGCCCTAGAATACCACATCGCTCCCCAATAGAACACATATACGGGAAGTCATGATTATTAAAACGATTGAGGAGGAATTGAATAGGCTTATAAGCTGCGCTAGTATTCACAGCTACATGCTGCTATATATATAGCCATCACACATGTACCTACATCAAATATCGTTGAAGAATTTATCAACGCCTTCCAGATAGATATATTTTAGACATCCATTAAGAAAGTTCCGTATGTACATGTACATACACAGAAGATCTTTAGCCACAAAGATATAATACTCGCCTAAGCTAGAGCTGACCTCGAAATGTATTTTTTGATAAAATATCGATCTTAAAATGGCACCTATGTAACTACATGTAATAACCGTGTATGTAGGATATAATAAACTATATCTCTGAGGGAAGGCTTGGTCCGCTTGATATTCCAGACCGTGTTCTCGAGCCTTATTGGTAATGTGGGCAGCTAGGTAGCCACAATGCAGTCACATACAGAATCCCGGATCCACCTACATGTCACAGTAATTTGACAAAAATATAACCACTTCTACAAGAGAAGAACACAAAGTGTAGAGCGGCCTCGATATAGTACTCTGAAACACGGGGATAACCTAAATGAACACCTGTATTTAAGCGGTATTCTAGACCTGTATCTGTTTTAAAAAATAAACTAACAATCGCAATGATTGATTGATTGATCATGATTCATTTGTTGTAATTAACATGAAGCGCAAACAGAACTAGGAATAGTTTTCAAAATAAAAACAGAAACAAGACAGTATGTGCTTGATCAGTTGATGTATAATGCTCTGGCTAGGAATCGAGGGAGCACGGAGTTGTGTTTTGCACTCTAATGATAAAATGTCGCAGAAGAAAGCCTCGACAACCTACTCAACCCTCTGGTAAGTCTATAGCCCCACGCCGCCAAAATAACCAGTATAATCACAAAACTAACTACCAAGCTCCCGCCAAAGACAATACTATGCCACTTCCATGCCGTATCTTTGTTGAAATTCTTTATCCTAGTCACTGCAATTGCCCATGGCAGGACCCAAAATATATTGGAGCAGAGGGACTGGGCGAGATACCATCTTGGTCTTGTAGCAACGAGGATTGCGGCTAGTTGGGTAGAGACGGCGTAGAAGATGTAGCACCAGTCGATTGTCTGTCATTTTTATGAGCGACAGAGCTAGAAGGGGGGAAGACTCATGATCACCTTCCACATATATGCAGTGATATCTGCCACGGAATCCGACTCAGAGAGCCAGTAGGCAAATGGCCGAGCACCCCAGACCGAAAATGTTATACAAATTGGGATCTCCACTGCTAGGGCGATGACTGTGGATGTTAGAGCCGGTCGAGTGATCGCTTATGATCCGTTAATTTACGACTACAACAGGTGAATAGGGATGGAGCTCACTAAGGAGATCCTTCCAGGACGCTTTAGGCGTTCGATTGTCGATTCCGACTCGGAAGCGCCAAAAACCCCAGGCATGCCCAACAAAGGTTAAAGCTGTTGCTTCAAGCGCTTGTACAGGAACCATGATAAGGCCCCAACGGATGGTGTTGAAGACACCCCATGCCTTTGTATTACGCGTCAGCCATCATCTTAACCTTGAAAACATCGTATTTGAAGTATCCCTACCGTGGTATAATCAGACCCCATCTTAACAATTCCAGAGACCAACCAAAGATACAAGACATTTCGAATAGCAGATTCAATAAACGTGTACCTTCCCTGTCTCACTAGTGTCCAAAGCGCTACTCTACTTGGTTTCCTACTCTCTACCTCTTCCCCTGAAGGGCGACTCAAAAATAGAATGTTTGACAGATATGCGAAGAACAACACGCCTGCCAGTGCACCGGCGGCATCGCACGAGAGACGGATTATGGCTTGGGTGTTGACGTCAACATCCAGATGACCAACCCGGAACTTGGATATTAAGAGAACGTCCAATATAATATTCAGAGCAGTCTTCACGGAGCTTATAAGGAGCGGTACATCTGGTCTTCCCACCCAGCCAAACATCAGCTAATTTCCATCCTATAGAGAGGTTCCTCATATAGCTTACCTATCCAAGGCCCTCGTAGCCGCACCAACCGCCACCTCCACGGCCTCAAACAGCGAAGAAAACGCAGATATACGCACATACGTCACGCTTTCCTCCCTCACCTCAATAGGAACAAACGTCCCCGCAAAGCTCTTTGCAGCAGCTGCTATCACAACAGACATGATCCCACCTAGGCATGCTTGTGCTATAATCAGTGTATTCGACAAACTGATGCGGGATGTGATGCTACGGGAAGAACGGTCGCCTATGATGACAAAAGAGGCGCGGGGAAGCCCTTCGTTGATTACTTCGGTCACAACGCTGATGTAGGTGTATGTGTCCGTCGTAACAACCATCTTGTTGTTGATGCCCGCGATCCATAGCTTCGAGAGTGTGCCGTAGAGTGCAGGGAGAATGAATGTGAAGATATTGAAAAGGAGGGCGCCGGGGTAGCTGGTGTGTATTCGCTCCTTGTCAGTTATCTCCTCTTTCTAGCATCGGGAGACAAAATCAACTAACCGCTGCCTAGACCACAATCCACTATCTTTCCTCTGTCGTGAGGCATGAGTAGAAATAGCATCAATATCCTCATCAACGGTATGCGATTTGAAATCGTTATTATCAGCCATATCGTTTTCGAACTCAGGAAGTGCTCTGTATCGATAGCGATGCCCTCCAGAAACAGCGCTCCCTCTACTACTGCTGCCCGACATTATAAACTAGCTAATGGATGAGAAAGGATTTTCGAAAAGATAATTCCTTCTTAGCACTTTTCAGGCTGCCAGCGCCAACATTCAGAACTGTGTAAGCAAGTAAGCGGCGGCTACGACCAGGAAAGGGAAAAGGCGTTGACTATCACCCACCACTAGGCCACCAGGGCCCCATTCCTCGGGTATAAGCGAGAAATATGGCATAGTAATCCAGTTCTTGACATTTTGGTAGCACCCGGTATCCAGGATCTCTATAATTCCAATGGACTTTGGCCGTCTGAAAGTTTTTTGTTAACCACTTTGGGAACCTCAAGCATATCACCATATCAAGCATGATTGCACGGTGTGCATGTGACTTTTTCTAGCTAGAAAATAATTATTTAGGATAACGATGGCGAGATAAACATCCGTACACCCATAACGTAATGAAAAATATAAATATACAGGTTCTTTTTTTTTCGAAGTAAAAATGAGGGAAAAAATCCAATGCTAAACAAGCCCACAGAAAAATGAAACCGGTGACCGGGAAAAAAAAGGACACCACGAATATACTATAAACAAATATCAACTCCGGGGGAGGCCATTCAAGTTAGAACGACCTAAGGAAATCTTAAGGCCTCCTTATTTTCTCTCACATGTCCTTAGATCGTAAACATCACACACATACATAAACACACATACATAAACACACATATGCAAGCTTAACGGAGCTTAGTCTCTGACCGCATCGAATTTGGACATGGCCCTAATGGAGGGGCCCCATCTCTGGAAGACCCACGGGATTGGCATCATGGCAAGGGAAATGAAGCCGAAGATTGATGTTCCCCAAGCGATACCAAGGTTTTCGTACACTGTGGATGACGGTTAGCTACGGATATCATATAATATAGCAAGGGGGGATAATTACTTCGAGGTGTAAACAACGGGAAAGCCATGGCAAGGAGATAACGGAGGAGACCCAACGCCGCAATTGCAGACGCAGCCACTAGTGGTGGGTATACTTCTAGGATGTACATAACCGCCGTAAGCTATTCACCATATTAGTATCTAAACATCGGACGAAACACAGATTTAGTAGGGAACGTACAAAGATCAGAACAAGACCCGCACCAAACGGCGCGCCAGCAATAACAGGCGAGATCCAGTGGATATCCTTCTTTGCAGTCCACGCAAACCAGAAAAGTCCGATAGGCATCAGACAGCTTCCAATCATGGCGGGCACTAACCGAATCTCCGGAGGCGGGTTACCATTGTGCTTCTTTAGGGCCGGAACATAGACTAGTCTATCTTGGAGCAGGTAAATCCCACACCCCAGAATTAACCCTGCAGCAATACCCAAGAAACACAACCCCGTTTGTCCCAACGTGAACCCATACTCGCGCTGGAATGCATACGGGTACGCCTCAAAAAAACCAAACAACACAGCGAATGCGAACGACGAGTATAGCGCGACAGCCTGAACGATGGGCTCGGTGAACAACATTACAGACGGTCTTGCAAGGGTGATTGTAAAAATCATCTTCAACGCTGTTTTTGGGTCTGGCTTAGGCGGAAGCTCTTGACCGCGGGCAATGGCACGGCGCTTGAGAATCACGGTCTTGTAGGACTCTTCCATAAAGTAGAGAGGAACCATCATCGCGCCTCCCAAAATGAGGATAATCCACATGGTCCATCTCCAGCTCTGGTCCTGCGCGAGGTATCCACCAACAATCGGGCCTGGATTTTCATATCGTTAGTCTCCAGCCTGAACACCTGCATGTCTCGCCAAGGCCGAGTAGTGACGGGTGTGGGGTGCAGAGCTTACCCAACGCAGGCCCCATGAAGGTTGCAATCGCCTGGACAGAAACTGCCAACCCCGAGCTCTTCAACTCCCATACGTCCACAAATGATCCGGCCGAAACAGCGAGTGCAGGTCCTCCGAAAATCCCAGAAAACATCCTGCAGATGACCAGTGTCTCAATGTTTTGAGCCAGGCCCGCGCCCATCGTGAAGAGCAAGAAGAATGGCAGGTTTACAAAGTAAACCATCTTTCGCCCAAAAACCTGTACACCGAATCAGTTTTTTGGATCCCGAAAACGGTCACTAGCGCTGTTTCTGCTCACCTCTGATAACGGCGCACTGAACATTGGCCTGCATTTCCCCCCAGATTAGTGCTTGAGTCCTCGGTAAAACTGAAGCGAAAGAGAAAAAACCTACCCCAAGCCAAGTCCCACCACATACATCGAGATCCCCAATAGAGCCACGGTAATTGAAACATTGAACTTGGCAGCAACCTCATAAACGCCAGGAACATAAACTGATGACGCAAATGTTCTAACATTTTTGCAAAATTCAATGTTAACAAAAAATTCAACATCCTTTTTCTACGAGAGAGCAAGCAAGGCGGAACATACACGAGCATACAGAAGCATCCAGGCACAATTGTTCCAAACCATCTTTTTCCTGAGGACCAGTTCCACGGGTTGTCAGGGTCATTAGGGCCGTCCCAGTTCAATGGGCCTGCAGCAGGAGTTTTCTCAAGCCTTTGTGCTGTAATGTTCTCGCTGTGAGGCTCACTGTGCTCTGAAGGAGACTTTGTTGATGATGAACTAGCACTGGTTGCCATCTTCTCGCTGTCCATGCTGGGCTGTTGTTTTGCGTGGAGTGAAATAGAACCAAGTGGTACTTGCACTTGAGTTCAAAGCAAAGACAATCTCGAGCGTGCAAGAGCGAGAGCACGAAGATTAAAGTAAAAAGCGACCGGGAGATAGGATGATAAAAAGATCTCGAGTAACGGTCAGATCAGATTTAGGGCCACCACCAGGAATGAAGAGACAGTACCAAGGAAACCAAGAATTGAAAGTCACGAAGGACACAAGCTGTATAAAGTATGATAAAGCGCAGCAGCTAGTTAAGTGAGAGCCTTGGTGAATGGTTCGCGTCCTCCCACCCCCCTTCCACTCTCCTTCCTGATACTTCCGTGCTTCCCTTTACACATGGTTTTGGACAACTCCGCCGATCAGCTCGGTGCCTCGATCTTTGGGACTTCGGTGTCTGTGGATGGTTTGAGGTTGAACGCCGAGGGGTCCCGCGCTGGATTGGGAATATCTCCCGAGACATACCACTCCCCGGTCACATAACTCGCCACTTGCACCTCTCCATCCGGCCTTAAGTTAGCATACATAAACCGTCTTCAGGGGGCGGATGGTAGGGGTTTCTCATTAGAAAAAGCTTATGCCGTTTCTTCCTCATGTAGGTACGTATATAGAAGTGACAGTTGAACAGAACCCAGGATTGCATTATTAAATACGGTATTGAGTACTAAGTATGTATGTAGTTATTATTGTTTGTTGTTGCCTATTTCCTTTCCTGAAGTGAAACGTAACTGTTCTTCTAAGCTTCGCTTCCCGCACGTCCTTCATCTCGGCCATGCCCACATTGTATCTATTTGTCTGCTGGAGCCTGGATGTAGCCTGTGGAGAGGAGTGTGAGGAGCTTTTAGTGGAGCAAGCAAGCAGAAGCCACACGGACCTGGTTGTTGTCCTAGCCTATCCCCCATTCAATCGGTAGTCAAATCAACTCCCCAATCCAGCCACAACAACAGATCAACAAACAACCCTCACTGGCCTCCCGGAACAACAACAACCACTGCTGCTAGTGCTACTGCTGCTGCTCCACCGTTCGTTCGTTCGTACTTACTCTAACAGCGGGTAGCTAGCCTTGATCTTCATACCTCGGTAAATGTAGAGTACGTGACTACTCATGGTGTGCATGTACATGTTTGATCTAATCCACCCCCAAGACAGATACGCACACCAATAGGTACGAGACCTGAGTATATTACGATAGACTCGCCTTGTATTGTATGTCTTGATTGTCAGTCTTGTCTAATAATATTAACGACATCATTTACTCTAGACTCCCCGCACAACTTAACTTAATTCCTCCGCCTTCTTACCAAATGTTTAAGTAATTAATGGCAATTTCTTTTGGGACCGGGCCGGCATACAACTTGCTATTTTCCTTGGAATTGTAATTAGGAATAATCGCCCTACCCTGGCACGCTCTCTCGCACTAAATATAAACCATGTCTGCCTATTGGAAAAAGAGGCATACCGTACAAACGCAACGTAGTGTACGTACTCTATGCCATACCTTGCCCTGTCCTGCCCTCGATCCTATTTACATATTTTTGACGTTTGTCTAGAAAGAAAGAAACGAAAAAGAAACCCCAGGTTCGAGTTTAGTTCAACACTTTCTACCCGTTCATGGTCACCTTAACTGGGATTGATCTACCGGCAGATAGATTAGAAAATCCAGAACTTGATAGAGACCAGGATAAGATAACCAATATCATTAATTTGGCCAGACCCACGCTGTGGGGGGTTTGTCTCAGAAACGTTAATTATAATAGAGTCTTTTAGCTGCAAGAGTTGGACAGAAAGTCGAGCACTTCGACAAAAAGTCCTGCACATCTTATTGGTTGAACGGCTGCAAGTCTCTCCCTAAAACAGCTAGACTTTCTGTCCAACCTGCTCGACTTTCTGTCCAACTCGCGCAGCTAAAAGACTCTAATAACGGCAATGATTATTATATCTGGTATCATCATCACCAACAAACGAACGTTCGAACCTCTTCCTCTCACAAGCTCACAAGCTCACAAGCACGCAAGTCGCTCCGACTCGATCGTCGGTCAGGCCGGCCGGGATTGACACTCTGATCTTATCCCTTGGACGTACGAGACATTTGGAGAATCTCTCTCATGCATTAGCGTAGCCTATCTGGGAAACGATTTACTGTAATAAAGCAGTAACTTGCGAAGTTTTTGGCACCTCTGAGTATTCCGGGGACCGATAAATGCAGCAAACTGCTTACCCGGACGTTTTCTCAGCCAAATTCTAGGTCACATGACTGCCAATTCGCGCTAATGCATGAGAGAGATTCTCCAAATGTCTCGTACGTCCAAGGGATACCTCGGTGCGAGGTGCGAAGAGATTTTTATTTATTTACTTACTTTCTTTTCTTTGCCTGCCCGTTCTGCTTTGCTTTGTTGGCAGTCTGTCCTGTCAGGCATAAAAATGGGCAAGCAAGAATATCCAGCCATTAGGCATTATATATCCACCATCATCGGCCACGCCGTATGTACCTACATACATACGTTCACGGCCCCGGGAGTCATTTACAAATGGCGTCCATCCCCCGTACACTCGACAAAGTCTAAATCCAAGCCTTGTTTTTTTTTTCTCCCTCTCTTAGCAAATAGGGTCCAAAAGAAGGGCTCGCTTATGCCCGAAGATTGCAGGGGGCAAGGTCTTTTTGGATTAAGCTACACATTGGGAGGCAAATGTCCGACGCTAACTAGCTATGTCGCGAGTTTAAAGATGCCATGCGGTATGCAGTGGGGAAAATCTTTGACTGTGACGTCGTAGATCTCCGACTGGTGGCTTGAACAAAAAAAAATTGATTTTAAAAAGCCATTTGGCCTTCCCACGGCGTAACTTCGTACCGGCGGGCATGTATGTGTATAAGAGTACTATTATACTATTTGTTATCATAACTACATACGGTATTATCGACTATCATATGTTGTGTTGGCTGGACGAGCCTTTTCCTTTCGGCATATTGGAATATGGATACCAGTTGGTGCTTTTTTGGATGGTCTTATTTCCACTACAAACGCACAAGTGCGAGATGATCTTCCGATGGTGCCTCCCTAAGAAAGGTGATATCCATAGTTACGCACAATAAGGAGACTGCTGGATGGCTGAATAGTAGCAAGATTCCCTCTAACCAATTACAGGTTTCAAGTCTATGTGTTTATCTAAGACATTTTTATTCTCTCGGCCAGAAGTGCGACGACCTGTTATGGTAACCATAATAATAGTAGGATTTGGTAGCACCTATCTTTACGGTAGGGTGTATGCACCGTCCACAACCAGGTTTGCGCCTAAAATCAACCATTGAGCAAACCCAGGTCCACAAAACAATCTTCAGGGGAATTCAAAAGAGATCGGGCCCACGTACCCGTCATATAACTCGAGGCATCACTAGCAAGGAATACGTACACCTGATAGTTTAAAAGTTAAGTCAGCTCAACTCTCCCGCAACCCAGGTTAGCAGCGGTGGAGGAGGAGGTTAAAGTTCTACGCACCCCTTTCAACTCATAGGGATCACAAAATCTTTGCGCCGGAACCATGGTATGCCACAACTTCTTCCAGTCCTCGGGAAGTTCCGCAATCACTTGTCCTCTGTTAATATCATAGAGTCTATCTGTTATGTACCCCGCAATCCGTTTCACAGCAGAAGAAGAACTTACTATCGGTTGCGATGAAACCAGGAGAAACACAGTTGACTCTTGCAAAATCAACCCACTCGACTGCAAGGCATTTTGCCATCTGCACCAAACCCGCTTTACTCGCGTTATACTGTTATTTTCAAGATTATAGTTTTAGCCTCATGTCGTGCCAGTGGTACTCTGCTAAGCCATGCATGCATGCAGAGATAAAATACATAGCGAAGAAGAAGAAAACACCACTACATACCGCTGCCTGTTTTTGCGGAATATTGACTAGTAGCGCACTGACTGACGCCGTAAATATGACATTCCCACTGCCCTGCTTCTGAAATATCTTTGCTGCCGCCTGTGCCGTATAGAAAGCACCGTCAAGGTTGACCTTCATGACCTCCGAGAAGGACTCTGGCGTCTGGTCAATCGCTGCAACATGCGTTGTGATGCCAGCATTTGCAACCATAATGTCGATACGCCCGAAGTCCGCTGCGATCTTGTTGATGGTAGCAGCGATTGATGCGGGGTCGCGCACGTCGGACTGGTAGGCAACTATTTTGACGCCGGTCTCTTGTGACATCTGGGATGCAATACTCTCGGCATCTTTAGAAGAGGTGTAGATTATTGCAACCTATGGGTGGTGAGTGGGTGGTACAATTGCAATTGGGTTGGGGCCCTGGGCGAGGGGGGGGTTGATAGTAAGAGTGATAATGGGTAGATACTGTGACTTACGGATGCTCCGGCTTCGGCGAGGCCGCGGGCAGCTTCAATCCCTATTCCTCTGGTGCCGCCTGTCACGGCTGCCACCTTCCCGGTGAGGTCGAATTGATTGCGGACGTTTGTGTTTTCGGGTTTTGCGAGGACCATTTTGGGTGCGTGTTTATATCTCTCACTGGACACTTGAGCGGATGAAATAATCCTTCGGCCGGTGTAGTCTCTTGTCTGTACTGTACGTATGTAGTGTCTAAGCACTAATGACAATTTGTCCGTATGGGTATTCAAAGTACAGTTCAGTATCAATGACGGAACTATGACCTGATGCCACGGATTGGTACAAATTTAAAGCTCCATGATACATTCCCCCAAATTTCCCTAGCTATTTCCCCCGCACTGGAGGTCAGCATAAATAGATAACCTATGTTTCCCCGCGCGTGTAAAATCGTTAAATTGCGGGGTTGCAAATTAATATCAGCCGAAGCAAAGTAAAGCAAAGCCCCGGCGCGGCCTCGAGAAGCAATACGTAGAGTACATACAAGGTTAAACCCGAAGGAGTTTTTTTCCCAGGAACCTTGAAAGGGTGTTGCGATTAATTCAGCCTAAACTCCTTCCGAAGTTTCGTTTGGTTTCAAAGCTCAGACACAACACACAAGTTATGTTGCTATGCTGTTGTGTGGCTAGAACAGCATGCTCTCTGTTTTATTTCTCGGTGCTGAGCTGACCTGACCTCAACCTACCAGCCAGTCATCGTGTATCGTCGTCACCACACCACCACTACAACCACTGCCGGCGACGGGGGTTCACCACCCCCCCTTCTCGGAGATTTTCTGCCCCGAGACACCCAAACGGACGCTACATATCTCCCTCATAATAACAGCGGTACGAGCCGACCCCAATAACGGTGTTTTAAATTCTTCGCGACATCTCACTCGTGCATGTGTCTTGTCTTGTGTTTCATCATGGATTATCACTCGGCTTGGCAACTGACGGGTTTGGTGAATGTTATGTAGAGTAGCTGCGCTGGTGATTACAATTGAAGCTGTTTTTTTTTTTTTTTTTTGCCGACAGCCGAGACTTTATCGCTGGGAAACATAGGTGGTGCGGTTTTCTTATCAGCGATAACGGGTAGAGACATGGAGAGTGTCGGATGCAGTTGGTGTATACTTTATCGCTCCATGGCATATATGTAGAACCACGGTGGTGGGAAACGAACGGCGAGGTAGAATAATACCGTAGGTCGTATGTTCCCCCAGGCCGGGTGTCAACAGTGTTATCGAGGAATGCAATGGGGTGGCGTGTTTGAGATTGGAGTTAGTTCTGATGACGACAGGGAAGGGGGGACGATCGAGAGACCAGAGAAGATTTAAAATTTCGTATATACGTGATATATAGTGCTTGGATTCGAGGTTCAAAAATGGCGATGATGCAAGGGCGGGTTTGTGCTACGGTTGATAATACATGTACATACGTCCAGATCGATCTTGAGTTAGGGTTGCTCCCAGTGAAGCGATGTTTTCTCCGAATTCTTAAGTACATATGTAGTTGCTACTTGTCTTGGCTAATCTCTCGATTCCAAGTTGCTACATGTATTCTCAAAGGTAACTTTGGTACGTACATATGTAGTAATATAGTCTGATAACGCCGAGGCTTAAGGATTTTAGCTGATCATGAACTATGTAGTATTATACGCGTAATTTTCCCTAGGAATACATAAAGAAAATATTAATACTCACATATAATAATGGAAGACCGCATTCATCATATATACACGAATGAACTACCAGCCAACCAACCAAAACCCGCACCCATACAGAGTAGAAGTTGATGGGCGGTGCTTAGTCATCTTTAAGTAAAAAAAAAAACTTAGCACCAAACCAAGGTTTTGTAACACGGCCTTGGCAACAACATCGAGGCATCTCAAGCTACAATACATTAATTGTAGCTAACAGCATACGCCATACATGCACTTACTCTCTACCTATACCATCCATGTCCTGTGCAAATATGGACCTGCAATTTTCGCTCTTCAGTCATGTTTCTTCCCTACATACCACGTGCCATGCCTGATGACCCCCCCCCCCCCCCCCCCCAAAGAGAAATACGACAGATATATCGACAGCTGAAGGTCTCACCCACCGATACGCCGTAAGCTCTTTTTTGCCCATCCAGCTGACCAACTAAGTAAGCCGCGCAGCAAATCTCTGGCTGGACCCGTATATATGGGGGTATACCGAAGATGGAAGAATACCGAACGGGGATCATTTGCCCACGAATTCAATAATGCAGTTCTTATGATTGTTATGATTGGTACTGATATAAAACTTTTCGGCGCTCCCATCTTCGGCGCTCCCATCTTCGGCGCTCCCATCTTCGGCGTCCCCGGCCACCAGAGCATGCGGGCATTGCAGGAGCGTGGATATATGAACAGTACGTACCTGCATACTACTGGCTAGGCTGTGATGGGGGGAAATTGGCCCAGCGAGTGATGAGGCATGAACCACCGGCCGGGAAGGGCCTACCTGATAGAGGGTGTGCCTCACAGATACATACCTGTATGGCGAGTCTTAATCCCTTGCATCAGGCAACAGTACCATATGCCCATACAAGACAACGGAAGAGAATCAAAGTAGGGTAGCCACCGTCATGCAAGGAACCCCTTATGCGGCCTCGGGGAGCTTGTCTTGATGGCAGACTTCTGTTTTTTATTGTTCTAGATGTAACAATGGACCAGCTATCGTATTATACATCGTATACATAAAATAGCACCTGACTAACAACCTATTGTAACCACACATTATGTATCGCAATAAACTCCTGAGCACCAGCCCAATTCCAGAACATAGTAAAATATAAGCAAAATAAAAGGAAACTGCACAAAATATAGATACCACCGTATGAACGCCCAAAAACATAGAATAAGAGTTACCAAATAAGTAGCAATAGAAAGAAGTGGAGTAAAAGGAATTCCCAAAACCAAAATAAAACATTATCGCCCTAACTCCACATCGACCTCTAGTCTTGATCCTCTAGCTTGAGCTCTTGTAATGTCTTTTCTAAATGTTTGAATGAAACTGGCTTCACCATAAACAAATCTATCCCCCCTTCAAAGGCCTCGAGTTGATCATTTGCAGTCGCTAACCCAGTGAGTGCGATGATCAAACTGCCCTTCCGTCGTCGTTGTCGTTCCAATGTTCGTATAGCTCTGGTAGATTCGATACCTGACATGACTGGCATTTGCAGGTCTATTCATCGTTAGTATTCGTAAAAGGTAGAGAATATGGAAGGAAGCATACCCATGAGAATGATATCGAAACCTTCGGGATTTTTCTCGACGGCTTGATAAGCTTCGAGTCCATTCGTGGCTTTTTCGAATGGATAGCCCTTCTTCTTTAAGAACGTTGCCAAAAGCATTAAGTTGACTGGATTGTCCTCCACGATGAGGGTTCTGGGAAGTTTCTTGCCCCCATTTTCATCATTCAAGTTGAGAGAGGTTATCCGCCCAACCCCTTGTTTCCATCGTGAGATTGGGCTGTCATCCTTTTCGATTGGTGTGCTGGGTGTTACCGTAACCGGAATTTCTGTGGACAGACAATGAAAACTCTTGGATGAGAGATTGACCTCAGTAGAACGCCTCTTAGGACGAGGAGGAGGAGAAGGTCTGTTTTTCGGCAAAGTATTGGCCTCTGTACAATGGATAGTTTTATTCGATTGTGATTGAGAGACCAATGTATCCGTTTTGGTGGAGGTAGATACTGCTGCTTGGGATTTCAATGCCGCCTCCATCTGATCTAGACAAGACGCTAGAGCTTTCGCGAGTTTCATGGGCCCGCATGGCTTTGACACAAACCCAGCAATCCCCTTATTCTCAGCGGTATTTAAAGGCTGGTAGATTTCATGCCTTGCTGCGTTCGAGCAGATAACAATCAATGGTATCCCTCCAGTCTTCCCGGGCATGTTTTTGCCTGCTTCCTCAGGAAGCGCCAGATGTGCATTAACCATAGCCCCTTCGTTTGTAATAACAAAGTCTACCTTATCACTAGTAGAATAAGACGAAGAGTTTGGGATGATATCCATCCCGAACCATTTGGTGACATAGCTTTCAAGCGAACTTCTAAGAAACGCAGTCGCTCGCATTTGAGCTTCAGATTCTGGGGGCGTAGAATCGAAACCGAGCAAAGAAACTCTCTTTCCCTTGGTCCTCTCTCTAATTTTTTCAATCACAGAATCTTGTCCGTTCGTCTCTTGGTTAAGAGACTGGTCAGGCCTCGTCTTCAAGACCCTCTTCAGCACCAGGCTGACAGTCACCTCCGTTCCCTTACCAGGCTGACTCTTCACACCAATCTCACCGCCTAGCATTTCGACAATCTGCCTGACAATGCTCATACCCAGCCCTGTCCCGCTGACAAGCGGGTTCTCTTGACTGAAAGGTGTGAATAACCGTGTCTTCAAAAATTCTCTGCTTATACCCTTTCCGGAGTCCGTAAAAGTCAACGTAACAAGGGATTTCTTATCTTCATCACCTTTGCTTGGCAAGTCCTCCGCCCTCATCTTGATTCGGACCCAACCAGAATCCGTATATTTGATCGCATTTCCTCCCAAGTTCAAAAAGATTCTTCGCAATGCGCCTGGTTGCGTTTCAAACACCCACCCATCATCGCGTCTATCAACATCGATGATAACCGTAATGTCATTTTTCGCCCCGGCTGGTCTTCCATTTCCTTCAGTTTTTGAAGTCCCAACAACCTCCATTATCCCTGGCGTGCTTATTCCCCTAAATTCATAGCCCGCAAATACACCTTCCGTCACCTCTTCCAAGATAGCGCTCAAGTCCGTTTCCGCAGTCAAGTGAACAACATCATTCACAGATGCAGATAGACCCCCGGCACATTGACTCGGTTTCGGTTCTTGATTGTCATCGCTCTTGAACTCTTCCGGGCTTTCGTAGCATACCGAAGCAGACCGCCCACGTTGCCGACTCATTCTTCGGACTATGCTCTCCTTCTTCATTGATGACGCCGTTCCAGTCCATTTATTCCCAAAGCTATTTAATTTTGAAAAGTCTAGAACGTGGTTTATGGTGTCGAGTAGCGTACGCCCACAGCTCTCAATAGTATCGACAAAGCTCCTCTGGAAGCTATCAAGATCCGTATCCGCTAGGAACTCGGCACTCGCTAGAATTCCATGTAATGGTGATCGAAGTTCATGTGAGACCGACGAGATAAAGTCACCCTTCGCCTTATCCGCTGTACGCATCAATTATCCTCGTCAGCAAATATTCAGGATTTGGATTGTAAAACGGTCTTCAAACATACCACTAACACAATGCAGCCTCCCTACTTCTGCCATAATGCTGTTCCCGAACGCTGCCATGAAGCTCTTCTCCACATCATCACTGAATACTCTAACTCTGGAGCAGCTCCAGGCGAATCCCACTGAAAAAAGTTTTCCAGAAAAGTCATACATGGGCATACAGACAACATTAGTACTCCCTGGCAAAAAACGTTTCAATATCTCTACTTCTTTCATATACTTTCCTCCTGTAGACTTTTCGCAATCTGGTGTATATTCAGAGTCATCATCTGAGCCCGTCTCAGCCTCACGCGGGCTAGACTGATTGCACGAGAAGATATGACCGTGCGGCCAGCGATGTGCCATGGTGCGTAAAAAAGACTCCTCAATCTCGCCAATATCAAATCCGAGGCTTCTCTCCAACTCGCTACCTCGACGGATCATGCTGTCATTATCAAAGGGATTTGTGCAAGAGGTACCTCCCTTTGTGGCATAACCAAGAATCCCAGATCTTCGACGGTACTTCTTCGGTCTTTGTCGATGTTTTGCGGAATAATCAAACATTGGCTCCGGTGGCGTATTTTTTGGTGAGTCTATACAATCATCGATATCATACGAGTCCTCCAAGTCGGCATCCACAAAGACAACACCGTCAATTTCAATTGACTTGCGGATCAATACCGATGCACGAGCAAATGTAGAGCGGAAAGAGTTGTTGATGTCAGGGTATTGTGGCTGAAGTTGCCCTGTGGGTGTTGTGGCGGCTGAACATTGGGCGGCTGAGTCCGAATCATGGAATAGAGAATCTGATGGCGATGAAGGGGGAATAGTGGCGCTCAGTGAAGATATCGAACTGGTCGATCCCCCTGAAGGCCTTGTGCCTGTTGTACTTCTTCCTGATCTTACTGAGGAATAGCTGCGGCTTCGCGAAAGCTCTGGGATATTAAGGGGGCCAGGAGGGTGCAGAATAGAAGAAAAATCTTCAGATTTTGGAGTTGGGAAAGAGAGTGGTAATTGAGATGCTTTGACATTGGGAAAACCTAGATGATTGCCCTCAGGCCATGCACCTTCTGGTACCTTATCCTGGTTCAAATCGGATGCAAAATCGCGTGCAAACGGATCCGATTCCTTTCTCCTCCCTAGCTTCTCTGATATTTGTGATAAAATTCTTGCTGTTTTGACCCCTTCTGGCACTATATCTGTCCCCATATTGTTTTTCTGCTGCCTCTCCATTTGATCAATCCATCTCAACCTTTCAGACTCCATTCTCCTCTTTTCCTGCGATCTTTGCTCATACCGAACTCTTTCCGCAAATTCCTCATCATCCATCTCCGCACGCTCATTTCTGAAATTCCCTGCTAAAAACCTCGAAATTCCCAACTCCATATTTCTTCCTCTCTTCATATCCCGCTCTGCCTGAACTCTCTCGAGGTGGCCCATGACCGTTTCCGCCATCTTCGCCAATGTTAACTTAGCATCATCTTTGAGTCCACCCGGGTGTGGCTTATCGTCAATGACACATAAACTTCCAATAGAGAAGCCGCTCCTTGTTCGGAGCGGGACACCAGCATAGAATTTCATATCGGGCCATCCAGTGACGTAATCTTCGTTCTGATAAACTGGTTCTTTGGTGAGATCTGGAACTTCAAAAATCATCATACCGTCATCATGAACCTCAGTAGGTGCCAGCAACGAAACGGTTCTCTCGCACAATCCTCCTTCCCTAGGTATCGACAAGCACCCTCCCAACCATAGATCATCACCTGGTGCATGGGTGTGTGGGACGGTGACTGATAACGTGCGTGTAGATTCAGCGATGATATATATTCTTTCATGGTCGATGAGTGAAATCATAGACCGTTTGCATGACAGGAGGTTTGCTGTAAGAAGTGCAAATGACATCAAGGCTGGGTCTGGTGAGGCTACGAGGCCCTGCTCATAAGTTTGGACAGGTCGGGAAGACAACTCGAGCATAGGCGAAGGGGGTTGGTAGTATCTTCAATAAACAAGCAGATTAATATTTTTCTACTTTGTAACTACAAAGGTTTAAAACGTCATGGGATAAGGTGAACCCACTTGTACAGCTCCCTAGAGCGCCGAATATCTCGAGAGTTTCCATGATCTATGCCTGGTAAGGCACACGTTTGTGGTGACATCTAGGAAGTAAAATCCCGTGAAACCACGATATCTCATGCGGCTTCAGCGGCTGAGCGGTGTAAGGAATCCGCGGTTCGTAGATTCGATTCTATATGGAGTGGTGAAGATATGTATGAAAGGAATCTAGAGAAGGAGAAGAAAAACTTCTCAAATGATCTGGTGGGGAGGGCCGCAAACAAAACACGGGTCGTAGGTATAAGTCACCCTTGATGCTTGATTTTTTTTTCCCCTTCTTGCTACGCAAAGCAGGCCTGCATGTCAATATGTACCGGGATCCGCTCTAAAACAGGTATTCGGCCTAGATTTTTATTCGGCCATCGTCTGAATCATGGTATTTCTCGGCTTTGACTCCTCTCTCGCTACTCCTGATCCCGTATGTATGGATGTCTTCTCCTTGCCAGTAGGCAGCGCAAGGTTCCATCCCCACAGACGCCCAGACCTCGAGACGAGCTTACTTTGCTGTGTTTTGGGCCTTCAGAAGGCCCTCCATAATTCACACCCTCCGGCAGCCAGCCCAAGTCCGCGGTACTCTCCACATTTGCTGATTACCAACCTAATATCACCACACACATGTTAGACATGGCTTTCAGACTACCTACATACTACATAGACCTGGAAGGATACCTATTCGATTGCCATGCACACAGCACAGGTACCTACATCAAGCAGTTAGGTATTTGGAACTTTAAACCTCCATCCATCCATCCATCCATCCATCCATCCATCCATCCATCACGATCATTCAATCTATCACTTTGATTAACGAATCTCAATCTACCCTCATCTGTCCCCAAAGCCACCACTGCGAACAGACAAAAATTATCTGACCGGTAGCGTCTCCGGATGGAAACCCCGAGTGCAAGTATAGCCAATGGCTGAGCGAGGAAAATCTTGAGCGCCACCATATGCTGTTGGTCCAGTCTCATAGCGCCTTTGTGCTTCGCGACGAGAATACACTTGTCCTTAGTGCAACTAGCTAGGCATTGAGTTTATGGCGGCCAACGTTTGCGGCTGGTACCTACAATTCAATCGACGGAAGCACCTAGCTCCTATGTTCTTAGTCCTGAGAGGTCAAAGGTTTGCCATGGGCCCGGCATTCTGGGAAGCTCTCTCATTCGAGGGAACAATCCAGCTCATGTATGACGATGATTATTAATCAAAGGCATCCACACCGATTCCGGTAAAAATCGATCAGAAACCTTGGTTTCTAGAGTTGAGTGATTGTGAAGTGTGGAACTTCAGAGAGAGAGAACTGCTGGGTGCATTCTCCCTACGGACGGTGTGGGCATTTGTTTGTGAATGGGAATCCCCGTGACACACGTGGGGAAACAGAAAAATTGTTTTCGAAATAAAGTTCAAGGCGCATTTGCACAGGCCCAAATATGAGGGTTCGCTTTCGGCGATCCTTGCGTGCTCAGTCGTAAACCCATTAGACGGAGTCAATTCACATCTTTTGCAGGGGTGTGCCGGGAACGAAGATGAACTGATGTCGCTTGGTGCACGATTCACAGATCTCTCAGGAGTCGGTTTTTTTTTTCCCTTTCTTTCTTTAGACCATAGGTACTCTAGAGTACAGACATGACACCGATTTCAGAGTCAATGGCAATGTCATAGTGCAGTGTCGTTTCCCCACTTTAACCATTACAGGCTTCAAGCTGAGGGATGGATGGTGGTTTATCTACAACATGATCATCCAAAGACCATAATCGAATTCAGTCGAGCTAGCATAACAGAGAGCGTTATTCGCCCTATTGAAAATCAATCCGACATGCACCTTGGACAATGGATATTACACACTGTGTAACGAAAGCCATATATTTCCGATCTCCTTTTTTTTATTCCTTGTTTCCAACCCCCTCTCTTAACCTGCAGAATCTGCACTTTCAAGGGCTGTTGTGGCACAGCTGATCTCCACGAGGAGGAATTAATTCCAATTTCCAAACAGAAGATTTCAGCGCCGCAAGACCCCTAACCCGTTCATGCACATATACACTTACTCTAGAGGCATCTACCCGTGTGCATGAATGGTGAGAAAGAGAGTTCTTGAGTCTTGATCACGGAGGAAATCACCGGGGGAATCTCATACTGAGAAGGATGAATAGACGGGATGAACCGGTGAACCTGGTACGAATCGTCCCCTCGTTTTCGGAGGGTTTTCTGTCTTGCGCTTGAGAATAAACCAAGGGGGAAAACAGATAAACAACGGGCTAACACAGCCGAGATCTAAACACTCAAACCCGTTCCCGCAAAAAGACGCAAGCAGGTGGCAAAAACAAAATTATACTACGCGATTTCCTGGTGCAGATTATTGTGTCGCCAAGAAAAAATGGTTTGGCTTGCAGTAAAAATCTAGAAGCCATGATGGAACTTTTCTACCCTACCAGTGGCATTTCATACCCTCCTCTCAGCCTGCCTGTCCTTAGGTAGGAGATGTCCGATATGATACAGGCTGACGTTTGCCGTTTCTCGGTGTCTCCCCGCTCTTAAAGCTCGCATAATGGCCTTCACATGGCAAGTGTTTTTTCAACATGATGGACTGTTTAACCCCGCGGAGACCCTGAATTCCAGGGTCCCGCCTGCAGGATAGCGTCTAGCCACTTCAACTTGCGAACCTTTTGTTTTTCTAAACACTCTATTTATCGACAAATTGCCGGCAGAGTGATGTCTACAATCAGATCGCCTATGTATGGTCGCTAAAGCAGGAGAAATATGTCATAGAAAAGAAGAAAAAATACTCACGATACAGGGAGAAATGATCGTAACTACAAGTCGTAGTTGAATGTTTTCTTCGGTATATACCTGGAGGACTACCTTGATCACAAGATCAATAATTTAATCGGCTGTCAGTTAACATTTAATATGCATTTAAAGGGATTCAATTCCGCAGTCGCCCCAGCCGCTGCCGGTTACACAATCCCCAATTGTCACTGGTAAGAGGGACAAGACTAGTGAGAAAAATGAAAGAGAAAAATAGGGGTAACTACATGTGCTCTACTCTACACGTAGAGCCATATCAATTTCAAGCAGAATGGCGCTGGGTGTCCTGTAAGGGATTTGATAACGGGCGGCTGCCAATTAGGCCAAACCCAGAATATGCAGAACATATTGTTTTGAGCCGCTGGATGTGCCGCTGCAATCTCTCTTCTGTTTTGACGACAGTGCACAGGAGAAATACGTAGCGGCGGTGGTATGCGAAGAGATAGATCATTCATAAGCGACCAGGATACAACCTTAGGGCAACAGATCAACGAAGATGAGCAAAACCATTTACTCGCTGGGGTTTGGTCGGTCGCTTTATATATCTTTTTTTTTTCAATCGGTGATCAGACGTTTGAGCGTATCAGCCGGATAATATTGACGCGTTTGGTCGACTATCAATCAGTATTAATCAATCGATTCAACTCGAGTGACATGTTGTGAATAGGGACCACCCTTGTCCTCATAGATTACAATTGTAGCTGTGGCCTTGCTCAATGCTGACTGTCCCATCTGGCATCCATCAGACATCCCGAAATTACCCAGCGGCTGCGGGCCGGTCTGCCGAGCTCATCGGAAAAGGAATCTTCCGCACCCTTTTGCCCGGGGGGGGCAAGACGGGGAAGGTCTGGATGAGATGGCTGGCGTAGAGAGAGTGCGACAAACTATGTAGAAAGTATCGTGAGATTTTTTTTGGGGTTTCTCTTACGCGAGTTTTGTCAGGAGGTTGGAGTGGTAAATTAAAAACTTACGCAACGGCGGTGACCAAGAACGGCGGCCCCGGGGCTACCGTCGGCTTTACTTTATTTTTATTTTCCCCCCTTCATTTGATTGTAAATGGTCGAGTAGCGTAGCAGCATCACGAGGTAAAGTTGTACATGAGGAAAAGACATGCATGCATGGAGTACATAGAGTAGGTACATACCGAAATCTCAGATCTCGGGAAGATCTAAAATTGGGGGGCAGAGAGACAAGTCTGTAGAGTACCTAGAGCAGTAGTATCGCGACTGGTTCAAAAGTAAACCTCCACGAAACGTACAACTCTGGTATTCGAAGCCGACCACCGTCTTCGCCGATCTCACGATGTGTTTCATCATAGCCATAGCTCGATGAGGGTGGTGGGTGAGTGGATAGATGGATGGATGGATGTGTGTGTGTGTGAGGACTTGAAGACGAGGTGTGGTTCAACCGGTGTGTGGTGCAGTGGGCCAGGCTGACTTCATCGAAACGTCTTTGCGGAATGCCGCCGGAAACGCTGATTAGAGACAGATTGTGGCTCATTGGTCCATTTCGACCTCTTATCTCTCACTCTTGGCTTTATGAGGTTAGATCAATGACCATCTCGAGAGTGTGAGAATTCCGGCAGTTAGCCTGCTGGTGCTGCCCGCCAAATGTGCTGCTTATCTCTGGGGGGTGAAGGGCCCCGGGGGGGGGAAGCCCTTCTTGCCTTCCTGCGTAAAAGTTGAGGCGACGGCGACAGGCCCTTTTTAGCAAAAACGCACTTTAGACCCTTCACAAGCGCAAATCTACCCAAACAAGACCAGAGGAGAAGAGGAAAGGAAAGAAGAAGAATAATGTGAAGAAGACGAAGAAGAAGAAGAAGCTGCCAGACAGAGTGAGAAGAATCAAGAGTAGGACTTGATCGCCCATTTCACAACCACATACATTTCCGTCTCAGACCGTTTCCCCGCTGCCGTTACCCATCTCTGCCCAGTCTGTTGTTTCTGCCAGTGCTTGCTTGATTGATTGCGGTACTCACTCGTCTGCCTGCCTGCCTACTTGATTAATTGCTTGTTGCCTGCCTGCCTACCCTCCCCGACAGAAGGGAAACGTTATCCATA